TTTATTTTATTTTATTTATTTTATTTTAAAAATACTTGTCTAGTCAAACATCCTCATAGTGGAGCAACAAACCAAATAAAGTTTTCTGTGAGAACATGCACTAGTAACAGATTTGTTACTACCATCTTCTTCAGGCCCTTTCAGGCTGAAAATTATTTATCCAAGTGCTTTCTTAAGTCAACCACCAACTGGGCTGGCTAACATTTGGCAGATTTGTATCAAACAAACAGGCCAAACCTGCATAGAGCTAAGCTACGTACATTTTGAAACACCCAGCACCACTCAGAACTGAACTTAATTTTTAAGACCTGAAATTCCTACAAATAATTTAGCGTGTTATTTCAAGAGATATGGTACCTATCATAGAACTGATCTCTCATACAGAAATGGCATAGGTGTCATTAGAAGTGGCTCTCCAAGGTGTTAGATCTGCCTTCCATAATTCTTGACATTGCAGATGAATGAAACAGCAGGTAGTAAAAATACGGCGCTAATAAGGTATGGATTTAAATCTTCTGTTCCATCGCCTATGTTTCGTGTTTCTGTCCCTTAGTTTTAAAAAGGCAGCATTAGTAGCAGACTGGTGCCACACTGGGTTACCTTCCTGAGTTGTTTAGTGAACTTGATCTTTTCAGAATGAGGGGGAAACTGTCCACTTCTAAGTGTGCATGGACCTGTTTTTCAGAAATGTTGAGCACCCACAGCTCCTGCTGACATCAGGGAAAGTTACAGTTGCCCAACACAATAAAAATGAAAAACAGCCCCTGTACACCTGTAAATAGTTAAATATTGGAATAGAGGAGGTTTTTTTTAGTTTATACGCAAGTACTGGCAAGTATTGCTTGCTTGAAGTATTAGCCACATTGGTCCTTAGGATAAGATTCTTGGAAAAAGGATGGTTTCAATTTTGGTTGTGAGGTTTCTACTTCTCTTTCGATACCATTTTGCAGACTACTATTGCAGTATGAACCTGATAGGAAATGGTAAATTTTCTTTTAAAAAAAGAATTCTTTCTCCTTGCTTGAACACTGTAATGCTAAGAATACTATGACTATTGAGGGAGAGAGAGAGCCCCATTACCACAATCTTTGAAAGCTTTCTCTGAATATATTGAGAATTCCACTAATGCCCTATCTATCACAGAGGGATGAGAAAATGCAATCTGATGTTAATAAGCATGAATCATCACATTGGCATAGAAGTGTCTGTGTTTCCTATATGAAACGCTGAAGTTTTAGTATAATTTTGATTGCAAACATTCTTCATTAATACAATTTTCCAACATATTTCTTCAGCTCCCCAAAAAACTGGACAGCTGAAACAACATTAGATGTTGGACCATTCGTAGCTCTGCTGTCAAAAGGGGAATTAAACATCCTTGCGGAAAAGGTATGTTTTTATTATAATTTTTAAATTTGTAAAAGATAATGTTAGAGTTTGGATTTGTGAATGTCATAATGCAGTCTAAATTATGTAACCTGAATGCTGCACTAGGTAAATAATTCTCTTGGCAAGGAACCACGTGTTAATGTTTCACACATTCTTGACTCCATCAAAGTTTCTGAGATTTCTTCTTGAAAGTAATGGTAGTATAAACAATTATTTGCACATATACAATGATAATTGTACGTTGTCATGTAGAAAAAAAATTACGCGTTTATAGTGATGCAGACTCAAACATTTTTAGTATTTTACATCTTGCAGTGTTGTTTCCTCCATTCCCCTGCCTTCTAACCGTAAAAGTTATGTTTCTTATCCTATTAATAATGGGATCATACTGATCAAATTAGCATTTATTCATGTGGCCCTTTGCCCTAGGGCCAGTGTAGCGCACACAACAATAACTGATAGCCTCAGCATTGCACTTTGTAGTTTCTCTGCCCTTTTTAGTTCTTTATAATCTTATAATTTTTACGTATAAGAGTAAACTATACTGGAATGAGGAATTCGTTCCTCAGCAGAAATATGTGAGCACAGTCAACAACTTTTCCTCAGGAGGTAATGCTTATAATTGACCAAATAGAATAGGACTCTTCAACTGAAAGGAAGGTGTCTAGCAGGGTGGAAGAGAGAGGTCAAAAAAGCCCAAAAAAGGTGAACAGGTTAAAGTTATTTCTCATAATTTAATCGGGTCCCTATCGTCAATTCTTACACTTATCTGGCAAATTTAAGACAAACGAAATGAAGTACTTCCCGTACTGCACATACTAAAATGGTGGAACTCATTAATACTGGAGGGTCTGGACAACAGACTCCAATCAGGCAGTGCTCAGGTGTTGCCAGAAGCTGAGAGGGATAATCACTCAGAATTTGCTTTGTTTCTCATTTTTCCCCCCTCAAACATATGCTGTTGACCTTTCAGTAGCAGCCAATTTATTCTCTTCTGAAACATCTGCACAAATAGGAAGGAGGCTGAGCTGTTACTAACCCCTGCTTTGCTGAGGTCTGCACAAATCTTTCTCTGCAAATTGATTTGTTTCAAAAGGGAGAAAGAAGTCTTACTTATTCTTTCTTTCCCTTTGAAGTTCCCCGATATCATTTTACAAATAGCAAAGACAATTGGACCAGTTTCTTCAGCTGAAGAGCTTCTGTCAACTGTGTTTGAATCTGTCTCCAATGCCACTGTCAACACTGAATCATCTCTCACCAGACCTGGTCAGTATTTCACCTGGTATCTGTGCAAAGTGCCAGATTTACACTGGTGCCACTTCGGGCTCTGACGGTGCAGTTCAAACAGACTTTTTGTTTCACCTTGTCATCAAATGCATTCTGAGAAGCTGGACAATAAAAAGTAAAGCATTGAGTAACTTAAAGAGGTTCAGCCTTTTAGCAAAAACAGTGAGAGTCTTCGTTCTGTTGCCCGTAGTTGTCTCATGCATTGACCAATTGCTGAAACACCTAATTTTGTTACAGGATTGTATGGTTAAGCATCTCCTGGAATGTTCCTGAGTGCACAAAGGAAAAAGATGAATGATTAGGCCGCACCTCGAATCCTGTGTTCAGTTTTGGGCCCCTCACTACAGGAAGGACATTGAGGTGCTGGAGCATGTCCAGAGAAGGGCAACGAAGCTGGAGAAGGGCCTGGAGAACAAGTCTTATGAGGAGCAGCTGAGGGAACTGGGGTTGTTTAGCCTGGAGAAGAGGAGGCTGAGGGGAGACCTCATCACGCTCTACAACTACCTGAAAGGAGGTTGTAGCGAGGTGGGGGTTGGTCTCTTCGCCGAAGTAACCAGCGATAGGCCTAGAGGAAATGGCCTCAAGTTGCACCAAGGGAGGTTTAGATTGGACGTTAGGAAAAATTTCTTTACTGAAAGAGTGGTCAGGCCTTGGAACAGGCTGCCCAGGGAAGTGGTGGAGTCACCATCCCTGGAGGTATTTAAAAGATATGTAGATGAGGCGCTTAGGGACCTGGTTTAGTGGGCATGGTGGTGTTGGGTTGACGGTTGGACTTGATGATCTTAGAGGTCTTTTCCAACCTTATTCTATGATTCTATGATTCTATGATTTGAATTAGAGGTTTTTGTTTATTTTTACTTTTTTGTTTATTTTTACTTTTCTTTGTCATCTAAGTGAAAATCCTTGAATTAAAAAGCTGTGAAAGTGACAAGTTACTGTTTTGCCAAAAGATTGCACATAGTTAATCCTTTGCCAGACATGAACATATGTTGACTCGGCTGTTCTTTAATCTGACATTGGTGGCATGGTGTTTTGTCTGTCCAAATGGACAAAGTTTGTTATAATCTAAAAGGTATTTTAACTAGCAACCAAACTAATCTATTAGAATCTCTGGTGACAAATCATTTTCTTTGTATAAGGTACATTCTTTGACTATATTCTATTATTATAATAACTGTATCCTTTCTCTTACTTGAAATTCACCCAGGCAGAATTTTTAAGCTATCCCATCCTGTGCCATGGAAAACAACCCTGGGGGGGGGGGCTTTTGAAAGCACTACTGGGAATTCAGACCCCAACAATTTCAAGGAGTTTGGTCTGCCTTTATGTCTTTGAAAATCTCCTCATTGGTTCTCTGTCTAACAAAATACAGGTCCAAGATCTCTTCCCTGAGGCACCATGGAAATCCATCTGCTTGTATAACAGCAACTCTGAATGATCACTGTATGTCTCCGGGAATGAATTTGCTCCTGATAATGCTGTATTCATATACAGAGAGAGACAGAGGGTGTTCTACAGAGCTGTATTTTTGCATAGCCTGGAAAAAAACATGACCTCTGTTGATCAGAGGAGTCATTACACAATTATCATGCTCTAAAAAAGCAAAATCGAGCTGGTGGAATAGCAGAGTATAGTCCATCTGTATGCATGAAATTCACTATTCCTTGAACAAGTAAATCATCAGATCATAAATCATATTTCTTTAGACAGGGGCCACAGGACTAAAGATTCAGCATCAGGTATTTCGGTATGCTTGTGTCCTTATGTGTGCGTTTTTAGGCCTCTGGATCACAACAACGTGAATCCCAAAGACTTTTCTAATCAGACTAACTCATGTCCAGTGCAGTTGCAGAGCTGTCTCATCTGCATTGCAAGTCCAATATAAACCTGCCAGTGAAGCTAATGATCTTTGTCAAAGGATAACTTGTCTCCAAGGCTATGGAGGCTTTTCATTCTTCACTTGGGGTGCATGAGCTCAGCTCGGGGGGGCAGTCTGGGACATGAAAAATTGAAGGATTGTTTGTGCTAGTCTTAAGAAATATTTCTGCAGTCCAAGTGTGGTATTGAAGTTCTGTTACCAAACATAATCTTATCAACTCCACACAGCTCACATGGTGGTTTCAGTAAGGAATGACGTTTTATGGCTGATTTGTAAATCACTAGAAAATTGGATATTATGAAAATGGCTCCAGAATAACACTGATGCTCTTCATGCTACCAACCTGCTATTTTACATTTCCCACAGTCCAGTTGTGAGCTAATATTAATAACAGTAACAATTACCAGTGACAGAGTTCTTACATCTGTGTCTACATCAAGATAAAAACAAAGATGGTGCTTAAAGCAAGATGGAACATATGAGGCAAAACTCAGGAATCGTGTGTCTGAAATACTACCAGAAAGCAGTGGCAGTATTGGAAAAAGAATTCAAGTTGCTTACCTCAAGCACTGAGATGTTATAATATATTATATGTGTAATATGTTAACCAAACTAAATGTGATTATATAGCAAAAGGAAGAGTGAAGTAGCATCAGATACAGGAAGAAAGCCAAGAGTCTAATTAGTATTTCCCTCTGTTATCACGCCAATGTATCTGGTGTGTTACAAATAATAAAATCAATGTTTTTTCCAAGAACACAAAATATTAGGTTTTCATGACTTGGGGAAGGGAACTGCATTGTGTCTGGATGGGTAGTATTTACATGATAAAAGCTGACCTTTTGCAGCAGAGGAAAGTGAAACAATGCAGCTTCACAAGAGGGCGGTGTGAAGGGAGAGCAGGACATCAGCTGGTACAGTGGAAGCTGAACAACATTTTCGTTTGCTCAACAGATTCAATCTTTTCAGTGTTCTACCCACTACTGCAGCTTCCTTTGATGCAAATAAATCCCTCCTCTGCCTCCTTTCAAAGTACAAATCTACTTTGTACATCCTCGCTTTAATTTGTTTATCTGGGGGAGCTTAGCTCAGGCACAGCATCTGTGAAATTCTTGCTTTTTACTGGTAATGACCGTATCTGAAGACATGTAGGGATTATTTGGTTTAGATAATTATTTAATAAGGTTTTCCTAAATTAGTGATAGGAGAGAGAGCAGTAAGCAACCACATTAGGATTCTAATTTCTGCTTTCCATCAATATTAGAGCTAGATTATGCCAACAAAGATCAGGATTTGTTAAAACACACAATGGAAACTGTCTCCTTTGATCATGCATAGGGCCAGAACCTGACTGTAAATAAGATTTTTAAATGGAGTTTGTCTGTCCAAACAGTTCTGTGGTAAGTGAACAGTCCTCTCTAAATCCTGACATTTTAACAACATGCTTGACATAAAGAACAAGCACCGTGCTTGTCTGACACATCCAGCTTCTGTCTTCACCTTGTTTAAATGTCAGGCAAGTCTTATAAGACATACATCTTTGTCAGGGTATTTCAGAGTAAAAGGACCTCTCATGTCTGTTACTTTCCTGTTGAGCTGGATTCACATATGTGCTGTTTGAACATGGAGAAGTTTATTCAGCTGCAACACTTTTTTGTGAACAATGACATAGCTATATGGAGACTTCCACCGAGGTCATCTCAAGGATTTGCATTTCATTCTTACTCAAGCAAGGCTCCCAGCAAATGATGGTTTTACCTCAGAATAAGCCTTTGCCTGGGTTTTCATGCCTTTAGGGAATTAGACTTGAAAGAAACTTGGAAGATATTGGTTATTCTTATTGCACACATCCAGATTTTAGTTTTATTGTGGCATCCTATATTGTAACTGTTCTGAAATATATGTCTGCTCCTGTTTTCTTTTCCAGCATGCACTGCCTTTGGAGGACAAAGAATATAACATTTCTTGCAAGTTAGGCAAATTCTAGTGTTATATCCAGGATGTTAACAATGTAAATATTTAAAGAAATTATTTCATTGCAAGATAATTAATTTATCAATATCACATCAGCTGCAGTTAATTCATAGTCTGTCACCCTCTTAAATCTCTATATTGCTTTGATTTCTTTTTTTCAGTATCCTTGAAGAAAACTCTTGCTATTTGACTTCTTTTCCAGATTGCCTGGGAACCAGAGCTCCTTCTTCAGATGAAATTATTAAATTAGCAGAAGCAAATGTCTTCTGGTCAGTTCAGGACCTGAAATGCATGGATGCAGGGACTTTTGACAAAAATATGGAACTTCTTGGGACTGTCTCAGGTTTTAACAGCTCCCAGCTTATTGCCTTGAAGGAAAGAGCCAAGCAGGTAACTATCCTGTCTGTGAAGGAAAATTAAATCCATAATTTGATTTGTTGTTATTGAACTATGCAGTTCTAAAATAACTGTGCTATGGCAATGTCACTACTGCTGCAAGAATATCTATTGTTTATTGGAAAAATAATGTGAGATGGTGATAGAAGACTACTGCCCTTGCTTTAGAGTCAACAGGCAAGTAGTTCTGAGCTATTGGCAGCTGAAAAACTTAAGTGCTTTTACTTTTGAATTGCTTTTCAGTTGCTTGCTTCTCACTTTTCTTTCATAAATGAAAAATCAGCAAGCAGTACTATAGGCACACTGAGAATTAAGCTCAGAGTGTTAAACTGTCTGCATCAATGTTAAATATAGGTTACAGCGGTGTAAAACCAGACTGACTGAAAGCGACTGTTATTAGCTGAATAAAGCTCGTTCTCCTACCTTCTTGTCGCAGGCAGGGACAAACCCATCAGTGGGAAATTTTAGGGAGGAAAAAAAAAAACCATGCATTTAGTCTGTCTTTGTAGGATGTTACTGGTGAGTGCAAGTTATGGAGACACAGCAGAGAGAAGACCTCTATCTTTGCCAGGCTGTAGATTCATGGAGAGGATCAGGGCTGTAGTCTCAGCTCTCGTCACCACTCCTGCAGCACCGCTGGCACCTCTTTCTTGCAGAGTGCAGCAATGCAGGTCCTCTTGAGCTCCTTCAGAGAGGTCTCTGCCCTGGGCTCAGCCCGTACTGATGCCCATGCTGCAGCAGCAGTGCGGGAGGCCGGGATGAAAACTTCTCGCCGTCTGGCACCGCAGCGCGGGATCTGTGCCAGGATACTCAGGGCAGAGTGCTTTTCTGGGTGCAGTTCAGC